GAGAGAGAGAGAGAGAGAGAGAGAGAGAGAGAGACAGACCCTTAAGGATGCCCAGCCACAGCCTACCCCTTCCCAGGTTTCAGCACCAAAATGTAGACCCAAAGTCAGGCAAGCAAGTTTTATTAACCTGCTGGGCTGCCCCATAACAATCAGAGGGGGCAGCCCTGAGCTTACAAAATGAGGGGTTTATATGGGTTAGGAAGGGCATAAGGAAGTTTTAGGACTGAGATAATCTATCAGCTTATAACAGGCACAGAGATAGTTTGTCAACTTGTGACAGATTTATAACAGCATCTTGTGACTTTTGTGGTGGCAGTTTTAAAAAAACAGGATTTTACAGGTTTGTGTAAAACAGGAATTTACAAGTATGGGTAACAAATATTTGTTTTCCCTGTCCTCCCCCAAGCTACCCAGATGGCTTTAATCAGGCTTTGCTTAATTGTAGCATGTCTGGCAGCCTCGATGTGGTGCCTAGACAGAAGTTCAGAAATGCAGCTGCAGAGCAATCGGAGTGGGGGCAGGGGAAGGTCAGCTTGTACGGAGGGAGATTTCTGAGGCAGCTTGTCCCTAACACTTTTTTAAAAAAATTTAATTTATTTCAGTAGGTGTTTGTGGAACTAGTGGTATTTGGTTACATGAGTAATTTCTTTAGTGTGATTTCTGAAATTTTGGTACACCCATCACCTGACCAGTCTACACTGGTCTTTTATCCCTCACCATCCTGCCCTTTCCCCAGAGTCCCCAAATAGCTTAGCTTCTACATATGAGTGAGAACATATGATGACTGGTTTTTCATTCCTGAGCTACTAGAACAAGAGTCTCCAATTCCATCCATGTTGCTGTAAATGACATTATTTAGTTTCTTTTTATGGCTGTGTAGTATCCCAGCCATAAAAAGATACGTGCGTGCGTGTGTGTGTGTGTGTGTGTGTGTGTGTGTGTATACATTTTCTTTAGCCATTGATTGATGGGACTTTGGTCTGATTCCCTATTTTGGCAATTGCAAATTGTGTTGCTATAAGCATGTGTGTCAGAGTATCTTTTTTGTATAATGACTTCTCCTCTGAGCAGATACCTAATAGTGAGATTATTGGGTCAAATGGTAGATCTACTTTTAGTTCTTTAAGGAATCTGATCTCCATAGTGTTTTCCATAGTGCTTGTACTAGCTTACAGTCCCACCAAGAGTGTAACAGTGTTCCATTTTCACTGCATCCATGCCAACATCTATTTTTTTTTAATTTTTTGATTATGGCCATTCTTGCAGGAATGAGGTAGTATCACATTGTGATTTTGATTTGCATTTCCCTGATAATTTAGTGATGTTGAACATTTTTCCGTATGCCTTTTGGCCATTTGTGTATCTTCTTTTGAGAATTGCCTATTCATGTCCTTAACCCACTTTTTGATGGGATTGTTTATTTTTTTCTTGATGATTGGCTTGAGTTCTTTGTAGATTCTGGATATTTGTCCTTTGTTGGATGTATAGATAGTGAACATTTTCTCTGACACTGTGGGTTGTCTGTTAACTCTGCTGATTATTTCTTTTGCTGTACAGAAGCTTTCTAGTTTAATTAAGTCCCATCCATTTGTTTTGTTTTTGTTGCTTTTGGATTCTTGGTCATGAAGTCTTTGCCTAAGCCAATGTCTAGAAGGGTTTTTCCAGTGTTATCCTCTAGAATCTTTATGGTTTGGGGTCTTAGATTTAAGTCTTTGAGCCATCTTGAGTTAATTTTTGTATAAGGTGAGAGATGAGGATACCGTTTCATTCTTCTACATATAGCTTGCCAATTATCCCAGCACTATTTGTTGAATAGGGTGTCCTTTCCCCATTTCATGTTTTTGTTTTGTCAAAGGTTAGTTAGCTGTAAGTATTTGGCTTTATTTCTGGGTCCTCTATTCTATTCCACTGATCAACTTCCCTATTTTTATACTACTATCATGCTGTTTTGGTGACTATGGCCTTAGAGTTTGAAGTTGGGTAATGTGATATTTCCAGATTTTTTTCATTTTCCGTAGTCTTGCTGTGGCTATGAGGTTTCTTTGTTGGTTCCATATGAATTTTAAGATTGTGTTTTCTAGTTCTGTGAAGAATTATGGTGGTATTTTGATGGCAATTGCATTGAATTTGTAGATTGCTTCTGACAGTATGATCATTTTCATATTAATTTTTATTCATAAGTGTGAGATGTGTTTCCATTTGTTTATGTCATCCATGATTTCTTTCAGCAGTGTTTTGTAGTTTTCCTTGTAGAGGTCTTTCATGTCCTTGGTTCAGTATATTCCTAAGTATTTGTATTAGTCTGTTTTCAGGCTGCTGCTAAAGACAAACCTGAGATTGGGTAATTTATTAAGAAAAAGAAGTTTAATTGGCTCACAGTTTTACATGGCTAGGGAGGCCTCACAATCATGATGGAAGACAAGGAAGAGCAAAAGGAGTTCTTACGTGGTGGCAGGCAACAGAGAAAGATAGCCAAGCTAAAGGGGTTTCCGTTATAAAACAGATCTTGTGAGACTTATTTACTACCGTGAGAACAGTATGGGAGAAACCTCCTCCATGATTCAGTTATCTCCCACTGGGTTCCTCCCACAACATGTGGAAAGTATGGGAGCTACAATTCAAGATAAGATTTGGGTGAGGACACAGCCAAACCATATTGGTAATATACAGACAGGCAGATAGATATATTTCTAGCTATTGTGAAAGCAATTGAATTCTTAATCCGATTCTCAGCTTGGTCACTGATGGTGTTTATGTACATTAATTTGTATCCTGAAACTTTGTTAAATTCATTTACCGGTTCTAAAAGCTTAGATAGGTCTCTAAGGTTTTCTAGGTATACAATCATATCATCTGTGAACAGTGACAGTTTGACTTTCTCTTTTCCAATTTGGATTCCTTTTCCTTCTTTCTCTTGTCTGATTGCTCTATGACTTCTAGTACTGTGTAAGTAGAAGTGGTGACAGTGGGCATCCTTGTCTTATTCCAGTTCTCCGGGGAATGCTTTCAATTTTTTCTTGTTCAGTATAATGTTGGCTCTGGAATTGTCATACATGGCTTTCATTACCTTAAGGTATGTTCCTTCTATGACGATTTTGCTGAAGGCTTAAATCATAAATGGATGCTAGATTTTGTCAAATGTTTTTTCTGTGTCTGTTGAGATGATTATGTGGTTTTTGTTTTTAATTTTGTTTATGTGGTGTAAAACATTTTTCAGGTTACCTATGTTAAACTATCCTTGCATCCCTGATATGAAACCTACTGATCATAGTGGATTATCATTTTGATATGCTGTTGGATTCAATTCTCTAGTATTTTCTTGAGGATTTTTGCATATATGTTCATCAGAGATATTGGCCTGTAGTCTTCTTTTTTTGTTATGTCTTTCCCTCATTTTGTTATTAGCGTGATGCTGGCTTTATAGAATGATTTACAGAGGATTCCCTCTTTCACTGTCTTTTGGAATAGTGTTGATAGGATTGGTACCAGTTCTTCTCTGAAAGTCTGATAGAATTCATCTGTGAACATCTGGTCCTGGACTTTATGTTGGCAGTTTTGTAATTATCATTTCAATCTCACAACTTGTTGGTCTGTTCAGAGATTCTGTATCTTCCTGGTTTAATCTAGGAGGGTTATATGTTTCCAGGAATTTCTCCATCTCCTCTAGCTTTTCTGGTTTACATGCAGAAAAGAGCTCATATTAACCATGAATGATCTTTTGCATTTCTCTGGTATTGATTTTACTATCTCCCATTTCATTTCTAATTGACATTATTTGGATCTTCTCTCTTCATTTTTTGGTTAATCTTGCTAGTGGTTTATCAATTTTATTGATCTTTTCAAAGAACCAGCTTTTTGTTTTATTTGCCTTTTGTATTGTTTTGTTGTCTTAATTTCATTTAGTTCTTCTCTGATCTTTGTTACTTCTTTTCTTCTGCTGGATTTGGGTTTAGAGTGTTCTTGTTTCTCCAGCTCTTTGAGTTATGACCTTAGATTGTCTATTTGTGCTCTTTCAGACTTTTTGATGTAGGTATTTTATGCTATGAGCCTTCCCCTCAAGGTTTTGATAGGTTGTGTCACTATTATTGTTCAGTCCAAAGAATTTTTCAATTTCCATCTTGATTTTATTCTTGACCCAATAATCATTCAGGAGTAGGTTTCTATAATTTTCATGTATTTGCATGGTTTTGAGGGTTCCTTTCAAAGTTGATTTCTGATTTTATTCCACTGGGCTCTCAGAAAATATTTGATATAGTTTTGATTTTCTTAAATTTACTGTGTTTAATTTGAAAGCCTTCACTTTGAGCTGTGAAGTTTTTCCTTCTGCTTGTTCAGTTCTATTGCTGAGAATTTCCAGTGCATTTTGTGTTTCTCTAAGTGTGTCCTTGATTTCCAGAAGTTGTGATTGTTTTATGTTTATGCTATTTTACTGAAGAATTTTCCTTTCAAATCTCCTATCACATTTTTATTTACTTAAGTTGGAGTTTACCTTTCTCTGGTGCCTCCTTGATTAGCTTAATAATTGAACTTCTGAATTATTTTTTCTGGCAATTCATAGATTTTTGTTTTGGTTTGGATCCATTGCTAGTGAGCTGGTATGATCTTTTGTGGGTGTTAAAGAACCTTGTTTTTTGTTATATTACCAGAATTCTTTTTCTGGTTCCTTCTCATTTGGGTAGGCTATGTCAGAGGGAAGATCTGGGTCTCAAGGGCTACTATTCAGATTCTTTTTTCCCATGCAGTTCTCCCTTAAAGTGATATTATCCCTCTTCCCCTAGGGATGGGGCTTCCTGTGAGCCAAACTGCAGTGATTGTTTTTGCTCTTTTGGATCTGGCCACCCAGCAGAGCTGCTGGGCTCTGGGTTGGTATGAGGGAGTGTCTGCAAGGAGTCCTGTGATGTGATTGCCTTTAGGTTTTACAACCTTGGATACCAGCACCTACTCTGATAAAGGTAGCAGGGGAGTGAAGTGGACTCTGTGAGTGTCCTTGGTTGTGTTTTTGTTAAGTGCACTGGTTTTATGTTGGCTGGCCTCTAACCAGGAGGTGGAGCTTTTGAAAGCGCATCAGCTGTGGTCCTATAGGGAGGATGAAAACTTGCCATAGGGACACCTGGTTAAGTATTCAGGTTTCTCAGGCATTGGGCAGGACCATAGAGCTCCCAAGAGATGATGACCTTTGTCTTCAGCTACCAAGGTGGTTATAGAAAGACCACCAGGTGGGAGCAGGGATAGGAGTGTCTGAGCTCAGCCTCTCATTGGGCAGGGCTTGCTGTGGCTGCTGTACATGTGGTTCCCAGTCCAATCAAGTTATATTCCCAGGGGGATTATGGCTGCCTCTACTGAGTCATAGAGGTCACCAGGGAAGTGAGAGAAAGCCAGCAGTCACAGGCCTCACTCTGCTCCACACAGTCCACAATTCAAAAAGCCAATGTCACTCCCACCATGCCCCCACAACAGCATCAAGTCTATTTCTGGGCAGCCGGTGACCCAGGCTGAGAACTTGCCCCAGACTATGAGCCTCCCTGTTGAGAAAGCAAGCAGACTCAGTTTTTCAGCATCACAGGAAGCCTGCAGCAGTGATCCAATTCCTTCAAAGGGTCCGGATTCTCTCAGCTTTCCTGATATGTCCCTGACGTAGTTCTTAGAGCAAAAGTTCATGATGTGAGTCTCCACACACTGCTCTATTTGTCCAAGCAGGAGCAGCACGCTAGTTCTGACTTCTACCCACCATCTTCCTTAATTTCAGATGGACAGGTTTTCATTGATTGAGCCCTATAGCATTTATTTGCAACATTTACAAATAAAATACATTTGTGGAAATGAATTGAATCCCTAGGAAGAATATTTAATTCAAACAAGATTATTTAGATAAGATAAAAAAAGATCCAAAGACCACAACAAGAAATTTTCCTCAACATTGTTATCGGGAGGGGTGGCATTATCCTTTGTATCATAAATTTGTGAAACTACTATGAACATGGCAAGGTTGGCAAATCCTGCTCCTTCCCCATCCCAGTCCGTCAAGCAGAACCATACTTATACTATCTGTGTCAGATAAGACACCTGACTTTTTTCTTTAGCAACTCTCCCAAGCAGGATCCACAGCCTTCATTTACAACCCGTTGAAGTATTTACCAACTCTCAAGGCATTTTAAAAAAAAGTATTCCCCCAACACTGATGGTCAGATCCCCAAACAAATATTTCCTGCAACATGTAATCACTAGGGCCGTAACATATTTGAGATGTCTTACCCTAAGTGGGTCCTGACTTTGGTCTGCAACTCCCTCATCATTTAAGCTGTATCCTCTAATATATCGCTCACATTCCTCCATTCTCTCCATGTCCTCATTCCCTCTCACTTTCAGCAGATGCTATCCCTTCTTACTGCTTACAATATTCAGTCTCAGCCAAGCTTCCTTCCTATCATTCTTCTTCATTCACGAATATTAGTTTCTTCATTCACCCTTTTTGCTTTTCCTCCTCTCTCTGAAGACCTCTATTCTTGGCTAAATCCAAATCCTCCCTGGCCTTCATTTTCTAGGATCTCATCCATCATGTACTTACTCTTTCCTTTTACACTTTCACTGTTTCCCTTTCCGAGGGCTTGTCCCTCTTCTGCTGTAAACACATTAAAGGCCCTCATCTACCTAAGAAGACTTTGGCTACTCCCCACCAAGCCCTGCAAGATAGCATCTAACCTTTCTCCTCTTAACCAGCAAACTATGAGAGGTAGTGAGCCTTCCTACAACCTTTCTTACCTCCACCATTCTAAATTCTTGACTCACTCACACTGCAAACTCTTAGATCCCAGATTCTGCCTCACCCAATTTACTCACACAGCTTTCCACACTTCTGAAGATTCCAAATGGTCTCCTAACCCCAATAATCATCTTCCTGAACCTCTCAGCCACTTTGGCAGTGTTGACTTTATCCACTTCTTCCTGCAACTCTTTTCAACTTTGAGTAGAGACCACATTTTAAAGCCTGATTCTGTGTTACTCTGCCTCTCTCAGCCTATTTGCCAATTAGCAGAGGGAATAAAGATACTCACTGTACAGATTTTTTGTGAGCATTAAATGAGATAATACATGTAATATGGCCAAAATGTAATTGGCTGTCACTGTATGATGAAATTATGTTTATTTTTACCTTTCCTTGGCATCAGAGTTGCTGAATATTCTGCATTTCTGACCACTCCTTTGTCTTCTTCATTAGATGTCCTAATTTCTTCACTTCACCTTCTGCCAAACTTATAAAGTCCCAGGGCTTCAAATATCACATCTACATGAATAACCTCTAGGTATGCCTCCAATCCTGGCTTCCCTTCCTGCCCCACCCTTTCTGATTGCCTACTGGACAAATCCCTTAGGTGTCACTTGGTGCTTCAAATTCAATCAAATTAACTGTCTTAATAATAATAACAAGGCAATCATCTTTCCTCCAAAAGCTGATTTCTACCTGATTTTCCTATTGCTGTTCATATAGCCACCATCTTTTTAAAGTGTCAAAGGTTCAAAACGTCCTCCAAATTCCTCCCTTTGTCCAAGAAAATGCTTGCTAATTTTGAACATTTTTTGTCTCCACAATATCTGTCATGTCAATCTCATGTCAATCTACTTAGTTTCCTTCTTGCTCAGCACCATTAAGCCTTCAGGAAGTTTGTTTGATTTATTATAGTGGCCTCTGAAGGGTCTTCCTTTTTCCTCTTGAGCACATTCACATTCATATCCATCCTCAATATTTCAGTTAGAAGAATACTATTAATATTAATGCAAAGCTTTGATCAAGATACTCTTCTACCTACAAAATCTTTCAGGATTTCCAATGTAGACATGGCTACCTAAACTCATCCTTCTCTTTTTCTCCTAGAAAACTTCAAGAAATAGTAAAGAAAAAGGAAAGGAAAACAATCAGACTGCATTTTTGGTAAAACTAGGAACTATATTCCAAAAATGTTTGTATATTGAGGAGCTATGCAAGAAGAATAGAAAGGGGTGAAAGCAGAGGAGATAGAAATTAACAGTGGCAGTCCTCACAAAGCACCCACAAAAATACTATTCCTGAATGTGAGTGACACCCCAAGAGGCAAAGGTCTCTGGTATCTGGAACAGCATGTGCAAAAACAAGAGTGAGGTGGATGTGGCAGGAGTCCCTCCTGTCCCTGACTTAGTACACAGAAAGAGAGGAGGTGGGCCACATATCGAATTATACAGATAAGACATGCTTGCAGGAGGGAGTTTGACATTGTAGTAGATTAGAAGGAAGCCTTCCAGTTGTGATAATTAATAACTAGCCTGAAACGCTATCCTGGGCCCATTATAATGCCCATTAAATGATAATAAAAAAAGGATTAGTATAGACCGCATACAGAGATATTCTAAGAATAACAAAAGAACGAAATGTATTAACAGAAGAATAACATTCTTCATAAAAATGTTTCTGGGTAGTCAGAAAATAAGCTTCAAAAACATTAAATAAAACTTCCCCCTTTTTACATGTCTGGTTGATCAGGATTACGTTGTTATGGCTAAAGTTTTACAGAGCTATAAAACCTGAATGTTGGTGTCTTTCTATACTGCAGATCTTCATTCACTTTCATATGTATATCATTTTTATTGTCGTGTTACTTTTGTTCAATAAAAGCTTTGTGATTAAAAAGTGGAGAAAATTTTTTTCTGGGGAACAGATGAACATTATAAATAAGTAAGCATCATAAAATTTCAAAATTTGTAATCTTATTGAAGTACTCATCTCTGAAGAAATACTTAAAAGTTGAAATACCAAAATTCAGGTAAGAGTAGATGAGGCAACAAAAGGAAATAAAATGTGAATAGCACTCAGGAATGAAGGGGGGGAATCATCATAGAATTTCAGATGAATTGAGAAATGGTGCAAGATCAAATATGCATTGTGGAAACATAGTGCAGGACACAGAGGATAGAAATGTGAATAAAAATGAAGTGGAAATAAAAAGTTTATTGGGATTAAAGAGAAACTACATCACAGAAAGTGGAGATCTGACAAACTGGTCTCCAAAGAAGGAAACCAAAATAATGATCAAAGCAAATCTTTAAAATAGAATTACATGATTTAAAATATAATTTAGATGTTTTCATTTTTTAAAAAATTAAGCTTGATCTAGGTATTAAAAGAGCTACCTTATGCCAGGAAGAACTGATCCATAATCATAAATGCCCAGACAAATCCTAATAAAGTTACTAACCTTCAAAGAAAAATAAAGCATACCTTGGCCCACCAGGTAAAATGATCAAGTCTTTTATGAGGGAGAAAATTGAGCTGACCTTAGACTTTCTTTTTCCTCTTTTAACTTTTATTTTAGGTTTAGGGGGTACACGTGCAGATTTGTTACATGGGCAAATTGCATGTCACTGGGGTTTGGTGTACAAATTATTTCATCACCCAGGTAGCAGTGATGTAGTACTCAGTGGGTAGTTTTTCAGCCTTCACCTTCCTCCCACCCTCCACCCTCAAGTAAGTCCTCCTGTCTCTTGTTCTCCTCTTTGTGTCCATGTGTACTCACTGTTTTGCATCCACTTAAGTGAGAACATGTGATACTTGGTTTTCTATTCCTATGTTAATTTGCTTAGAATAATGGCCTTCAGTTGCATCCATATTGCTGCAAAGGACATGATTTCATTCTTTTTTAGGGCTGTGTAATATTCTGTGGTGCATATATACCAAATTTTCTTTATTCAATTCACCATTAATGAGCAGGGTTGATTATATGTCTTTGCTATTGTGAAAAGTGCTGTGATAAACATACGTGTGCATGTGTCCTTATGGCAGAATAATTAATATTCCTTTGAGTGTATACCCAGTAATGGGATTGCTGGGTTGAATAGCAGTTCTAAGTTCTTTGAGATATCTCTGGACTGCTTTCCACAGGAGCTGAATTATTTTACCTTCCCACTAGCAGAATATAGGCATTCCCTTTTCTCTGCAACCTCACCAAAATCTGTTATTTTTTGACTTTGTAGTAGTAGCCATTCTGAGCAGCATGAGATAGTATCTCGTTTTGGTTTTGATTTGCATTTCTCCAATGCTTAGTGATATTGAGAATTTTTTCCCATGGTTATTGGCCACACGTATATTTTCTTTTAAGAAGTATCTGTTAAGCTGGGTGTGGTGGCTCACGCCTGTAATCCCAACACTTGAGGAAGCCGAGGCTGGCAGATTGCTTGAGTTCAGGAGTTTGAGACCAGCTTGACAAACATAGCAAAACCCCATCTCTACTGAAAATACAAAAATTAGCCAGGCATGGTGGCAGATACCTGTAATTCCAGCTACTCGGGAGGCTGAGGCAGGAGAATTGCCTGAACTCAGGAGGCGGAGGTTGCAGTCAGCTGAGATCGTGCCATTGCACTCTAGCCTGGGTGACAGTGAGACTCCATCTCAACAAAAAAAGTGTTCATGTCCTTTGCCCATTTTTTAATGAGGTTTTTTTTTTACTTTTTAAGTTTCTTATATATTCTGGATATTAGACCTTTGTTGGATGCAAAATTTGCAAATATTTTCTCCTGTTCTTTAGGTTGTCATTTACTCTGTTGATAGTTTATTTTCTTGTGTAGAAGCTCCTTAGTTTAATTAGGTCTCACTTGTCTAATTTTGGTTTTGTTGCAATTGCTTTTGGAGTCTTTGTCAAGAAATCTGCCAGGTGCTATGTCCAGAATGATATTTCCTAGGTTTTCTCCTAGGATTTTCATAAATTTAGGTTTTATATTCTTTAATCCATCTTGAGTTGAGCTTTGTATATGCTGAAAGGAAAAGTTGCAGTTTTAATCTTCTGCCTATGGCTAACCAGTTATTCAGCTCCATTTACTGAGTAGGGAGTCCCTTGCCATATTGCTTTTTGTGTTGACTTTGTCAGAGATTCCTGTAGGTATGTGGCTTTTTTTCTGGGTTCTCTAACCTGTTCCGTTGGTCTATGTGTCTTTTTTTGTACTAGTACCATGCTGATTTTGTTATTGTAGCCTTGTAGTATAGGTTGATGTCAGGTAGTGTGATGCCTCCAGCTTTGTTCTTTTTGCTTAAGATTGCTTTGGCTATTCAGGCTCTTTCTGGGTTGCATTTGAATTTTAAAATAGGTTTTTCTTTTTTTATGAGACACAGTCTCACTCTGATGCCCAGGCTGCCGTGATCATGGCTTACAGAAGCCTTAATGACCCAGGCTCAAGTGATCCTCCCATCTCAGCTTCCCAAGTAGCTGGGGACAGCAGATGAATGCCACCATGCCTATCTGCTATTATTTATTACTTCTAGAAATGACATCTCCCTATGTTGCCCAGGCTGGTCTCAAACTTCTGGGCTCAAGTGATCTTCC